GCAGACCATAGAAAATACCAGAATCTTCTGGGAAGTGTTTCTGCCTTTCTCCCTGCTGCTGCCACCTGCCAGAAGCAAGTATGGGTCAGCGGTTGTGTGGGCCACTTCCCCAAGGACTCAAATCTCAGACCAGCAGCTCACAAAGCCAGCCATTACTGGACACTGTTTCATTTTGAGGTTTAAATGTGGGTTTGGTGTCAGCATCCCACTCCCTTCTCACTCAGCCATTCACTAACCCTCTCCTTAGACCAGCCCCATGGCCAGCAGCCACCAAAACCACAGACAGACAAACTCTCTTCTTGGAAAGAGGACATATAAACCCTATTGTAAGCAGTTGACCAGTCAAGCCTTCTCCTCGCCCTGTGTAGAATGACAACAAAGCCATCAACATGCTGCCATGTACACTTAAACATATTTGCACATTCAGTGTGTTGGTCAGAATGCCTCCATACACGAAAACTCTTATTTCTCTATTTGAGACATTATTTCAATTCAATATTGTGATCCTTATTGCGGGTCAACACTGGGGTCTTGGGCCACAAAATGGTTGAAATATAATCCTTGACATCAGGGGGATTCATGGGACTGCAGAAGGCTGATAGCAGAGGCATTCTTCCCATTCTTCCCTAATGGCCCTGCATCCCCAAACCCTTGCTGGCCAGTTTGGAAATAGTATGAGTTTGGTTGGTTGGTTGGTTGGTTTTGTTTTTGTTTTTGGTTCTGAAGACTGAGTTCAGAACTTGGTGTATGCTAGGCAAATACTCTGTCACTGAGTTCCACACTAGCCCCAGGAGTCTGAGTTCAAGAAAAATTTCAACCTGCTAAGTGAGTGAAAAGTAGGGCTCAAAATTTAAGGCTCTTCTTTAAAAAAAAAAAATGCTTGTGTCCCCGTTCAAGCAGAGGCACAAAGAAAATTGAGTCATCAGCTTCGTGTTGTGCAAACCCCAAGAATTTCTCTCTGAAGTAGAGAAGATCCCCTTTGAAAACTCCACGGGGCCAGGAAGCAGCTGCCACCTGCTTCAGATCACTCTTTCACAAGAATCATTTCCCTCTCACTCTGGGTGGGGTTGCTAAAATGGAGGTACTGATAAAACACAACTGCAGCTCACACCTTGTCCCAGGACAGGCTGTAGGGGAAGCCATCTCTCCTCTCACTCCTGTTTATTACTGGAGCAGAGTCTATACACTTCGGTGGCAGAGTGTCTCCTGGAGGTTCCCAGTGGATTTTGGTTCAAGATCTATGACTTCTGTAGAAAGTCATGTCAATCCACTGCCTGGGATTTCAAGACTTCCCCTCAAATGAGGTATATATAACTGTCCAAAGAGTATGGAACAGCGGTTCTCTATGGGTCATTGCATCTGAAATGCCTGCGAGGGAAGCATGGGAGTGACTGTGGGCCCTTTCTTAATTTGCAGGCAGAGGCTATTGCCCTGACTTGTCTCTTAGGCAAGGGGAAGCCTCTCCCTTTTTTGCCAAGCCTACACGTCTAAAGGGGCAACTGGACTCTGATAAAGAAACTGACTTACTCCAGCAGTAAATAACTAGGTTGGTATCTCTGACAGCTGTTATTGAACCCGGGGAAAGGGACAGACTAGCCAAGAGTACAGTCTGCTTAAGGGTGGCAAGAGAAGCCTTTCATAATCACTTTGCTGACTACACGGGACAGGAACAGTGAGGGACAACACATTATTTCCGGAATCCTCCAAAAGTGGTGGTGGGTGACGTTAGATGATGAGGCACCCTAATTCTGCCCTTGTGTCCTTGGGTGACTCCCATTATCTCTGAGCCTCTATTTCTTTGTCAAGAAAGTGGTGTTAGGAAAGTACTAACGTGTATGACTATTGCAAGGCTGTGGAAGAAAACCTACGCTAAATCCAACTCAATCTGAGCAGTGGGTGATTCTTAAGAATTCCAGATGTTGAGTGGCAATAGCAACATGCCAGGGTTTTAAAATGGGGTACTCCTAACTTTTCAGTGATACTCAGGAGGCATCTGAAGCCCTAAAACAAGATGGATCTATCTTGAGCATCAATTTCCTTTAGGGAGAGATATAGTGATCATTATTCTTAATGATATATTGGGTCATAAAATACAAAACTGTGATGATTGTATAAGGTAGTACACCTTACACTGAAGGTGCTAAAATGTTGCTATGCCACATCCCGAATTGGCCACACCCTCCTTACTACTGCAGGGAGAGGGTGGGACTCCCAGAGTCCTCCAGAGACTGGAGTGTTTCAGGGATATCCTCACACCCTAAAAGAGTGGGGAAGTCACCAATCCCTGTCTTTCATGGTTTGTTTCCTCTTGGGAAAAAGAAGGGTTTTTTCCTAAATGATCGTTAAAGTCCCCATCTCTGAGTCTATGACAGTGAATCAGGAAATTTTTCTGGAATGAGTGGAGGAGATCTGTCATAGACCAGGAATTTCATGTGGTCCAGCATCCCCTCCTGTGTAGGGGGAAGTTGGCAGAAAATAGAAACTTTTTCCCTCAGCTGCCAGAGTCCCCAGCACATCAGCTCATCACTACTTTGGAAGGAAGTAGATGTCCTATGTGAGCAGGGGAATAACAGAATGAATCAAGTCTAACTTCAGTGGGGATGGATCTCACGTCCTTATTTCTTCACATGGGAAGACTCAGCCAGGACCCTAACTGCTAATGGAAAGAAGTATCCAGAATGCTCTGAGTGAGCAGAGAGACACCTTCGGCTCCCGAGCCCCAAGATTCTCAAATGCACCCCTCTTTCTCAACAATGGAAATGCAATTTCCTAGCAATGTTCTCTGGCCATGGAGGAAAGGACATGAGCACATGGAGGCTCATTCCCTTCTGTCCAGGGTCCCTTTCTCCTGCATTGCACAGAGTACCTAGGGTCGCTGGGCTACCTCAGAACATGTTTCTACTTTTTGACTTCTGATATAACACTGGACAGTTTCTTCTGTCACTCCGCCCCTGCCCAGCAAAACTTTTGCCCAATCTCATAGCTTCTTCATCTCCTAAAACCAGTCACTACCAGAATGGGGCAACTCGGATGCCTCTCTTCTCTGCCCCGCCCTTTCTCCTCAGGCTCTGCCCACCCAGACCCACATCCTCTAAGTCACATCTCATTTCCGAGTCTCGGTTCCTTTGCAACAGTTTTACAAGGGCATGAAAACCAGGCAGGCACTACTAGGGGCCCTCTGCCCTGCCTCTCCTGGGGCCACAAGATACAACAGGAAGGTGAAAACCCCAAGGCAGGAGAGAGCTTGCTGGTCTCTAGGACCTGACTCCCAGGGAGCACAAGGGATCCAAAAGACCTGGGAGTAGGCTTTTTTGAATAGCCGGGAGACAATCTAGGAAAACACAGAAGCTCAGCTTCTCAGCCACAGCAAAAGGTGTGGATGTCCAACCTTTCTCCTCTCCTTGGACTCTAGGTCCAGGCCTCTCCCTGCCCTTCTCCCACCCATCCTGACTGTTTCTGACCTCCAAGGGCCCCTTGGAGCTCTGATTCCCTTTGAAAGCTTCCTCTGTAGCTTTAGCGGGCCAGAATGCCTCTTTCCCTGAAGTCTTTTGGCTTTGTCCGGAACATGTGTTCAGATATTCCATGACAGTCTAAGCTATGGAATTTAATGAACCTGAGTTCATACCCAGCACCACTCCTTGCTGTGTGAATATGAGGAGTTACCTAACCTCTCTGAGCCTGTTTCCCTACCAAAAAAGCAAACAAACAAAGAAACAAAAAACTTGATACCTGAACACTTCTCACCAAATCACCAGGAGGATAAAATGTGATAGCATATGTGAAATACCTAACATCGATCCTGGCACAGCAAAAGGGTACAAATAAACGGCCAATAGAGTCATGTTGCTATTCTTCTTATTATTTGTATTACTTCTGCATCAGAATTCAAAACTTATGATCTCTACCTGGCATACCTAAAATCCCCATGTTGGCCACCCCCCCCCCAAAAAAAACCTGGGTTTAATAAATTCTTGCTGAGAGGAACTCACTGTAGGCTGAGCTGACTTAACCTAGCTGACACTTCTTTAAAAAAAAATTAACTGTGCTGGTGCTAAACAAAGGGTTCATGGAATTATCTGTTCATATATAGACAAAGGAAGGGAATGCTTGGAATTGAGCCATACTGAACACCTGACCCCAGCTCCTCCCCTCCACAGCCACCAAAGTCACCAACTTCATTTAGATGGGATGTTAAGGTCTCTGCACTAAAGTTCGTGTGTTACCCTGATACAGGTCCCCTCTTACTCTGAAGCTGCCAGGCATCGAATATGAGCCGTGTTGCTTTTTGATTTTGCCAAGACTGGCAGAACCAGGGGACCATAGCGCTAGACAGCTGGTCAAATCATTGCTTCTGTTATGTGCCCTCCTTGGCCCAGGCTGGAACCTCTTGGGCTCTCAGAGCCTGAACACAGCGCCGGTTCAAGTTCCCACAAACTAAAGCAGTTGGTGACCAAAGCAGACTGTAAAAGCCCTCAAAATCAATCTAAGCCGAGGTTCTCTGTCTTTAGTTTTCTGGGGCTCCTTTCTGAAAAGCTCATTGCAGGCTCTCTGACTTACAACTCTGTGGCCACCTTAAGGACTACTCTAGAGATCTCCGCTACTGCTCTGCCCCAGTCCCTGGCTCTGCCCTGTCACCCACGACAAGCCTGGCCCTGCTTGCGGAGCCCTTGGGCACCCGAGCCTGTTAGTCCGGACACCGGCTGCGTGTCCAAGAGTACAGTTACTTTTGCGCCATGTGCTCCGGCAAGCGCCAGCGACCTCGCCCAAAATCTGCGGCGGGCAACCTGCCCAGCCAACTTTCTTCTCCCTTTCTCTTTTCCTTTCACCAAAGCGGCGCATCCCAAGAAGCAACCCTCAAAAACTGTGTAGCCTCAAAACCCAGCTTTGCTTTGCTGAGCCCACTTCACTTTATTTCCTCCCCGGGGGTCAGCCCAGGGGCCGTTCTGCTGGAGTGAGCACTCTGCGTTCACATCCCCGCTGCCCAGGCTAGGGCCACTCACCGATCTGCTGTTGCGCCAGGCTCAGCGGCAAGAGGCAGAGTCCCCAAGCTGCGTGCCACCAAAACTTGTCCATGGTGTGCGGGATAGAACCCAGGAATCTAGTCGCCTCTTAAAGAGGGTCGCAGGGAGCTGGGGCAAGGAGGATGGATGGAACCTGTCACAGGCTGGGGGCCGCTAGGCAATGAGGCCGCCTCGGAAGTTGGCTGCCGTTTTTATTCCAGGCTTTGAAAGAGTGACCTAAGAGGGAGGGAGCGCGCGAAGGACACACCCAAAGCGAGGGGGCTGTGACTAGGCAGCCAACGGAGGTTTAAAGATACACCAGTCTGCTTTCGCTGCTGACTCGGAGACCCTGCCCTACTCTCCCGGGCAGCTGAGAATTGCTGCCGCCCCTGTCTGCCCACCTCCCACCCCCAGGCCACTCCACAGGTTTCCTTCTCTGGCCAGCCCTCCTGCCTTTGGGGATCATTGCCTGGGGCAAGGAGAATGACTGAGTCCTGTGACCTCACCCCTCTGAGTTCAGCCTCAGGTCTCTCCTTTGCCGCTAAACTTCTGGGAACCTGGCTGGAGAATGACTGTCTAGGTTTCCCAGGAAGCTGGATGTCTCCTAGGGAGGAGCTGAGACAAGAGGGAGACCCTACTGGGAGAGAGGACAGTGCCTTCCAAGCCAGGGTGGATTTGAAAAGTGGGGAATTTGTGGGAGTGCCCACTCGTCTTTCCCTCTGAGAGAAGTTCAAAATTCTCAGTGGCTCTTTGCTCAGGGAAACCTAGCGATGACCAGTTATGGGGATCATATCTGACCCCATGGGGGTCATATCGGACTCTACAAGTCCATGCTGACAACCTCCCATGCCAGGAGGCTGTCTGTCCTTCCACCCACCCACAAACACACTTCATTCATGATCTCAAATATCTACTAATTAACCTACCAATTCCTTAAATCCTTCTGGGATTCCCCCATTCCTCCATCATTCCCCTGTCTTCCTTCATATGCACTAACCTAGTCATACCCCATCCATCACCAAGCCTTCCATTTATCTATAGTACAACATCCAGCATTCCATAAATCCCAAGCTCACCTCCCTCCGCCGTCTTCCCCACCCATCCCCCAACATGCTGATGCTTGTACACGGTCCCATTCCATCATTTTGTCCAGCTTCATATCCACTTACACATTTGTCACTTCTTTCTTGTTTGCATTTATGCCCTTTTTGCTGCAAACTTTAATACACTGTCATTTATTTCTTCCCTGAGAAATCTCAAAGAGGGGTGCGCATTGCCATATCCTTCAAGGGAAATATTTCAAGGCTTTTCGAAAGCAGGGGGAAATCGTATTTTAAATCACAATTCCCTATCTTCTCTAATACCCTGTGAGTCACAATTAGGACATCAAAAGCAGTGTTTATTTTTAATGTGAACTACTGAAAGTGAATCTGAAGTGAACATCTTTGCTGAATGAGATGCATGGAAAACATGCCTGTGGCAGGACCCTGAAAAAATCATAGCAGAATTTCTGAGGGAAAATAATATTTTGGGATTCATTGAAATAAACTGAAAAGGTGAGAGAAATGCACCCAGCCACCTGTCCATCCATTTATTCATAAAACATGTAATGAGTGCCCAAGGGTATCAAGATAAGCCAAACCTTGTTTGTCTCAAGGCACTGGTTTACAGTCACAAGCCAGCTGCTGCTTACAATATGAAATGTACTGTAAAATAGAGGCAGGCCTGGAAAGATGGCTCAGTGGTAAAGTGCTTACCACCAAGCATGTGACCCAAGTTCAATCCTTGGAACTCACATGGTGACTCATGCAAATAGTCCTCTACCCTTTACATGCATGCCATGGCATAAATCTATACACACTCACTTAATAACTATTAAAATGCTTAGAAAATAATTCAGCCAGCCTTTTGCATCTATAGATCAAAATATTCATAAGAAATGCATTTTGTTCTTAGTATCTGTAAGCTTTTTGCTTTTCATTATTTTGTGAACAACATGGGTTAACATCTATGCATCACATACATAATACACATCATTCCGTTGTATTAAGTATTACAAATTATCTAGCAGTGATTAGAAGAATATGTGTGGGTTATATGCAAATACTAAGTCATTTTAAATAATAAGCTTGGGTGTGATATCCTGGCTGATAAGGAATGACGTGTACCTGTGTGTGTGTGTGTGTGTGTGTGTGTGTGTGTGTGTGTGTGTTTGTGTGTGTGTTTAGAACACCACCAGCCCAGCAATATGAAGAAAAAATTCACAGTATTTTCTTGGGAACACCAATAAGAAACCCCAAGAGAGGTGTTACTTGAGGCAGGTGTAAAAGAGAAGGAATTCTTGAGAAACTGAATGGACATGTCACACCTAGGGAGTTCTGTCAAGGAGTAGCTGGGATTCAAGACTGTTTGGTTAATACTACTTTGGGGCCTCAAGATAGGCAATGAGCTTTTATGTGCCTCCATTTCCCCAAGTATAAAGTGGGCTTAATAATAACATCTACTTTGTAGAATTGATGAGAAGGGAATGGCTTTGAAAGTCCTGCATCTCTTAAACACTGGATATGTGTATGCATGTATATTTGTACACACACACACACACACACACACACACAGCACACAGCACACACGGAGAGGACCAGCTTGAATATTAGAGCGGATGAAAAGATTTAAAGGGAGACAGCAAGAGAGAAGACTTCGGGGGCCTTGGTGCAGATGGCAAGGAACTTTGAGCTTGATCCTGTAGAAAAACAAGAACCATTGTAAGTTTTTAAAATGATCTTATATGAGAATACACATAACATAAAATGTACTTTTTATCCACATGCAAGTTCAGTTAGATGGCATTTAGTTAATTCACAGTATTATGGCCCCTTCACAACTTCCTTGTAGGTTTTACAGTTAGAGAGTGCCTTACACCAGCATTTTCAGAGACAGTGATGGGGCTGCAAACTGAACCCATTACCTAGCCAGTCTGTGGCTGCAGGGTGTGACTCAAGGATCTACCTCTCCAAGATGAAGAAGGTACCTCTTGGCCTCATGTGAATACCAGACACTTTAGAATCTTCCAGTAGCTGGAAAGAGCTGGACACCCTGCTGTTTGTGACCCAGAGGCCATTTACTTCAAATTCTAATGACCCCACCATTTGGGATAAATATCCTAGTGGATTTGGTGAACTATGGATGGGGAATGATTTTTGTCTGTTTCTCTTTGGAGGTGGGGGAGGGAAATTGGTAGCCACCAGGAATGATGTTTGTTTTTGTGGTATCCAGAGGATCCTTTGAGAGCCCCTCAGAACAGGACATAGAGTCCAGAGCTGAGGATTCACAGCTGTGTTCCTCCCTTGTTCTCATTCTACAATAAAAATTCCACACAGTCATATTTATAAATTAGAATACCATGAGAGAGTTCATTTTGACAAAAATTTTACTCTTAAAAAAACCAGGGGGTGGGAGACACCAAACTAGATAACCTCAGACTCCACCTAGCTGGACTCTTGGAATTAGTTCAGTAAACAATACTGCTCAAAGGTGTGTGGTGGGAGCCAACTGAAAATGCTTTGCAAGCTATAGAAAGACATGCAAATTCTCTAGAAATTATTATTAGGATTCTTTTCCCAGAGGGGAAGGCTTGCTGTCTCTTCCCGATAGTTCAGTGAGGGGCTGAGACAGCTTGCCCTGGTGCCACAAATGACTCATTTTCAATAACAGACTTACTGAGTCAGGCTAGTCCTTGGGAATTCCTGGATTATCTCTGAGCCCCATGTCACCCCCTTTTCAAACACCTCACCCACACCACCGGCCACAAGGTCTTCCCCAGCTTCTCTGCTGTGCCTCTTATAAAGGTGAAATCCTTAAAATAATTTACTTCAGGCTTTTGGTATCAGTTGTTCATTCAATCAGCCACCTTTTGTAATCCAAACTTTGGATGTGGGGAACTGGAAAGGGGAGCTTGAATTGGTGGGGCTTGACATGAGCTCACAGGGTTTGGAAAGAAGCCAGAATGCAGTCATCAGCATTGAGCTGAGAAAGCCCAAATCTGAGCATTGACTCTGCTGTTATCAGTGACTTAACCTCTGGGAGATTTGGGTTCAAAATGAGGGTAAGGGGACCATCTCCATAGTTTAGGAATATCAAGGAAAAGAAGACATCAGGATTCCCCACTGGGGTGCCCGCTTGGTGGAGAGATCAGTCATCACCATAGGAGCTGTCTGAGTTCAGGGACATGACTGTGTTGGGCACCAGTGTATCAGTTGCTGTGGCTGACATAGCCCAGTCTCTGGTTTTATCTATCATGATCCATAAATAAGCACTGTACAAATGCCTGAGTGAGTCCTGCTCTCTTTTTCCCATCACAGCCTATGGGGTGTTTCGGAAGCCACATGAGCTCACAGGTTGATGCATGTAGGCAACTTGAGGGTTGTTGAACCTCTATAGGCAGTATTCTGTGAAATGACCAGTTTAGCAGCCTGAAGCCTGTACACATGAACAGACTAGCTGTTCTTACAGAAACACTGGGGCCTGATGGCTTCTGATGGATGATAAAAAATCTCTTCTTCTTCGAAAAAGAAAAATAAAATCTAAACCAAACATGAATGGAAGTATGAAGGGCTAGGCTGGGAGAGCCAGGGATGGATTGTGGAACTGTACAAACATTGAACACTGTTTCACAGACAAGAATTGGGCTGTGGAGGTGAAGGTAAAGATAGCATTCCAGTTAAAACTGAACTCTCAATGGAATCCATTCTTTGATCACAGTCATGGGATGAATTCTACACATGCAAATGAGCAGTAGTGAGAAACTCTCATGAAATCATCCTAGTGGAGTTCAAGGAACTGATAACTAGGGACGAGTGAATCTTCATGATAAATAAGTAACCTTGAATGGCTGTTCTTCAGCTAACAGTGATCAAAGAGTTGGGCCTTTCAAATTATAACAACTGAAGTCATTGGTATAACTGCTGAACACTGGGAACACCAAGGGGACAGAGGAGCCTAGATTCTAGATTGGATGTGTCAGCCACAAAATGTCCTTCACAAAGAAATTTTGGGGCTAATGAAATATCAGCCAAACCCCAAGCTGGTTGGTAACAAACTTGGAAATGTGATTATTTGAGTATGGAATTTGAATTAATTATTCTCTTCATTCATTCATTCATTCATTCATTCATCTCTCCATCCACTATACAACTAATAAATACTGGGTGAATCTTACATATTCTTGATTTTGAAATAGTTAACCATAACCATTCCACCATAATCATTGCCATCATTGTCACCACCACCAGTGCTATCATCACTATCACTC